TTATTTACCAGAACTATTAGAACAGATTTTACATTTTTTAGTGATAGATAAATCTCTTTATCTGCTCTATTTATTAACTGATTTTGGTATAGATATACTATTCCTAATTTATGAAAATATATTGAACTAAAGAAGAATAACCTGAGATATAGATGCTATTTCCCAGATAGATATACTTATAGTAAGAGAAATCGTATTCAATGGGAAATATTTATAAAAATAATGTGTGAAAAGAATAAGCCAGCTCATATTTCGAATACAACCTATCTAGAAATTACTTATTACCATTCACTTTCAAATAAAAAAATAAAAAGTATTGCAGATACATTTCTGAATATAATTCATTTAGATTTTAAAAATAGTATAGGTTTTGATGATAGAGCACTATTTATAATAGTGAAATCATATCCTAATTTAAGATATCTCAATTTGTGAGATGCTCAAGCAATAACCAATATAGAATTATGTATACCGTATAGCACTGACATTAGTACCTCCTTTGCAAAATATCCCTCTTGAATAGTAACAGATACTATTTAATCACCAAAAATAAAATTTTTGATTAATACTGAGGTACTAATAAATTAACCAATTAAATTGATAAACATGTCGATCAAATTTACTGTAATGATGCTGATCAAATTTATCACAACAATATCAATCAATTTGATCGATTGTAATATATTAAACATAAAAATCAAAATTTATTATTATCTTTTATACTTTATCAATATTAAATATCATTATTTATTAAATATACATAATTATTATTTAAATCCATTTATTATCATAATCTCCCTCCTCATAATGATTATCATTAATATCATTACTTCTATCATTTTCATTAATATCATCTAAAATTTCTACTTTATCATTTGATTTTGCTTGTTCAAGATGTTCATAATTAAAAATCCAATCATCTTTTGTTCCATCACGTTTGTTAGAAATGCTACAGCATTTAAAAGATCTTTGGATAAAACTAATATCAACTGCACTCCATGATCTATTAATCCAATCTACAACAGTTTCATAAGATGGTCTTTTGATTCTACTAGCAGGGGTTAATTCTTTTAAAGATTCAGACATCCATTCATTATATTTATTTCTCATATATAAGAAATAAATTTATAAATATAATTAAAATTAAATACAAAAATAAAATAAATAAAATAAAAATAAAATATTTAATAAAATTAATAAATCTTACCTTTGATTTAAATGATTTATTGATTGAAACATCTAAAGGTTGTAATTGAGATGTTAATCCTCCAGGAATAACAGCAATATTAGTATTTTTTTCTCCAAAACGCCTTTTAACAGAATTAACAATATGTGCTGAAAATGAATCTAAAACTAATAATGATTGTGGATTAGAAAATCTTTCAGCATGTTTAATCCAAACATTTTCAATCCAATATAACATTTCATTTTCATTCATCCATCCAGTTGGATTAGCATGAACAATAACTTCTTGTGGAAAATTTCTTTTTGGAATTTTTTGTTTAAAAATTACAAGAGGAGGAAGTTTAGTTCTATCTGTCATACAGATTAAAACTACTGTAAAATTAGTTTTTCATGACCTGTTGTACGAATACTAATAGTTTTTACTCCATTTTTATCAATAGTAGTATTATTTGGTAAATCAAATGTCAATGGAGTTTCATCTATATTACCAATAAATGCTAAGAGATAATTATGTTATATTCACCTATACATAACAAATGTTAAAAATTCTTGTTATTTTTCATATAAATTGTTTAGTAAATGTTGAACAATAGTAATATGACAATGATTACTTAAGTTGTTACAGCTCATTAAACCATCCAACCATTTATTACTAAAAGCAAAAGATTGTATATTAGGACAGGAAGCTTGCCATTGTAGTTATTATACTAAAGTTTTTGCTTTTACTTGAATTATATTTTGAGAAACTACTTGCTGATTACGTCTTCTTTCCTTTATAAAACTACCTCTAAAACTGGATATTTTAGAGGTTTTTCTTTATTTAAATATTTTAAATTAGGTCATGCTTTCATAAATAGTTCTTTTTTAGATACCCAATCACGAACTTGTTTGGTTTTAATATTAAATTTAGCTGCTGTTCTATTTTTACTATATCCCTTTTCATAATACATACTAACAGCAAGTTTTTCTCTTACATTTCATACTCTTTGTACTTTTTCTGATATTTTTATACAGTTGGTATTTTTATTTGTGCGTGAATTCATATTACTTATGATAAAGTAGTAAAGAAATAGCAAATTTATATTGTGATTGTAAGGACAAAAAAACTAAAAAAAGGTTTAAATTCAAAAAATATCAAAATTAAATAAATAAAATTCTGATTGCATTATCTACGAAATTTGTATTATTCATATTATATAATATAGTATAGTTTTATTTCAAGAAATGTTAAAAATTTAAAAATTCGAAAATAAAAAAAGATTATGATTAATATTCCTTTTTATTGTATTCTCATTATGTAATATTCCTATATGTAGTACCTTTCTCTGAATGTAGTATCTCAGGTATTATTTAAAATTAAGCTTAGATTTGTTTGAATAGTATCTGATACTAATATCAGCACTATATGATAATTTATAATTACATGATAATTCCTATTGAATATTATGCTATAACTTAAAATCATAATTATTATTTTTAATTAGTTTTATAATTTTATAAATTTTATAAAATAGGAATTTCATATAGATTAATGTATAAGAAAAAAATTAACTCTGATCATATGTATTTCAAGAGGTCTAACTCTATATTTTTTAAATATATTCTTTCTAAATGTATCTATATTTTAACTTTGAGATGTATTTAAAGAAGTTTATAGTTCTAATTTGATAATTGAAATTTAAATCTTTTTTTATAAAAGATAAGTTTTGTAAAAAAAGAATAAATTATTTTATTTTTGTAATATTAATTTATATATTTTTTTTTTGTTTTTAGAAGATATTAGAATATAAATTAAAAATTATAAGAATTTGTTTAAACAATTTCATATAGTTTTTGATATTTTTGAATCATTTCTTAATTTATTTTGAAGGTTAATGAATCAAAATATAATATTTCTATATTATCTCAAGTTAAATATCTGCTAAGTAAAATATAAGCTTAACTGAAAGAAAATGATAAAATTTAATTTAAGAAAGATTTCTGGTAGAATTAGTCTTATATTTTATAAACAGTAATGATAAAAGAATTTTAAAAAAAAACCAACTCTATTATTTAAGTTACTTGGTAGATTTTAAATTATTAAATTCAAAACAAAATTTTAGACTAATCAAATTAATCAAATTCAGAGAAGAACAAGTTCTGTATACATTAAAAATTATTTTCATATAGTTAGAAGTAATATGTTTATTTATAAATATTTATATTAACTATAGAATCTTTAATAAAAATGAATACTCAAACAAATTGATTTTTAAGGTTAAAGTCAATAATAATTTTTATTGTATTATTACATATATCTTATTTAATTAAAAAATTATTAAGAAATATAATAAATATATCTGGTTATAATTTGATAAAAGTAGGTAAGTTTGCTTTAGTTTTAAATATAGGTTAAGAACATAATAGATTTATCATTTTAAAGAATTAATAAAATAGATAGCTTAAGAGATTAGAAATTTTTATTAGAAACTGGTAGCATATTACAGAATATTCTATTAATTTATAAAGCTATTTCTTTAAATTTGATGATATTATTAGTATTAAAAAAGTATTAGTTAGTTATTTGTTAAGAATTCTGAATATCTTTATTGAAGAGTTTGTTAGATTTAAAAAAATATATATATTTTATTTGAATCTTTTATGTAAAAAGTCTTTAGAAATAAAAGATAAAAAAATTTTTAAATAGTTGTATAGAATAGAGTTTAACCAGTAATAGAAGGTAATTGTATAAGATTACCTATAATTATAATATTTATCTATTAAAAAAAATAGTATTATTATAAATGTTTACAAAGATATTAAATATAAAATCAAAAATTTATCAGATACTATTAATGTTTCATTTATGATTAAGATATTAATATTTTAAGTAATTATTTAGGTCTTTATCTATGTAAACTCAGATACAAAAAGATCTATAAGTAGGTATAATATATAAGATAGAGTAAATGATTTTTTCTTTTATTTTCTGAATGATGATACTGATAAGTGCTAATATTAAGTAATCAGAATTTTTTAGTTAATTATATAGAACTTTTTAATGTCTACAGAGCTAATAATAAAGAAATAAGGCTATTTAATGTTATCATTTTGATTTATATAAGTTAAGATAATTAATAGAATATAATATTGATTTTAAGACAGTTTAAGTATTGTAGTTTGAGAAATATATAAGAAGGATTTAATATTATATAATTGTAATCATATGATTTCTTAAATGTTTGAAAAAATTTGATGTAAATTTTAAAAATAGTAAAATTATATCAAAACCTTAATAAGCAAATTTAAAATAAGTATAGATAAGTAACTTTAACTATAATTCAATAATAATATTTTTATTTTTCTTTAATAATTATATTATAATTAATATAATTAATAATAAAAATAACAATAAAAATAATAAAAGTAAAAACAAAAAAATATAATAATGATTATAATACCTATTATTTCATTTATCACATATAAATATTAAATCTTTTTAATATAAACTTAAAACTTAATAAATTTCTGATATTATTTTAATTTTGACAAAAACTTTATTAAACTAACTAATAAAAACATAGCATAATAATTTTATAAATATTTACATAATTTCAATTACATTTTATTTTGAATCATACTCATAGGAATTGATCTAATGGTTAAATACTCAAGCCAAACATATTTAACATTTTTTTTATCTGATATTTTTTTGGTTCTTTTCCTGTTTGCGAATGTTACACAGACCATTTATATGACAGGAAACAATATCACGTGATCATTTATTTTTAAGTTTTATATTGTTTGTTTGATCAATTCACTCAACTTTTTGAAAAATGAGAATAATAATTAAAGGAGGTATCTGGAAAAACACGGAAGGTGAGTCAATATAACATTCTTTCAAATAATATATACCTCGGTATAGTCGAAGATTTATATTTGTTTGATATGTATGTATAGACGAGATCTTGAAGGCTGCTGTTAGTAAATACGGCAAGAATCAATGGGCTCGTATATCTTCGTTGCTGGTTAGGAAATCACCAAAACAATGCAAAGCTAGGTGGTATGAATGGTTAGATCCTAGTATTAAAAAAGTAAGTCTTGGCTTATTTATGCTGGATATTATATATTATCATATTATTTAAGTTGTCTTTTGCGATAACTTTGAAGTTTTATATTTATTTTTTTTTGAAATAATATTAAAAATTAAATTATTTAATGAAATCTAGACTGAATGGTCCAAAGAGGAGGATGAAAAATTACTTCATCTTGCTAAGCTGATGCCTACACAATGGCGAACAATTGCGCCTATTGTAGGAAGAACACCATCTCAATGTCTTGAACGATATCAGAAATTATTAGATGAGGCTGAGGCGAAAGAAGGAGCAGATTTAGATTTAACTGGGCCAGTTGGAGATGCAGGTCCTAGCGCTGATGATGTTCGAAGGTTAAGACCTGGAGAAATTGATCCTGACCCTGAAACTAAACCTGCAAGACCTGATCCTGTTGATATGGATGAGGATGGTAACTGCCATTATGTTTATAATTAACCAATGATTTTATCAATAATTTATTTTAATCTCATTTTCTAATTAATCTTAAACAGAAAAAGAAATGTTATCAGAAGCTCGAGCTCGTTTGGCTAATACACAAGGTAAAAAAGCTAAACGTAAGGCACGCGAAAAGCAATTAGAAGAAGCTAGACGATTAGCTTCGTTACAAAAGCGACGAGAATTAAAAGCTGCCGGGATTGAGTGGGTTATTTTTAATGTTTATTGTTACTATTATTGCTTTATATATATATATATCTTATTTTTATTCATTTTTAGTTTGAAAGGTAAAAAGAAGAAAAAAGGAATGGATTATAATGCTGATATACCATTTGAAAAGAAACCAGCTCCGGGATTTTATGATATTTCCGATGAAAAGAACCGGCAATTAGAACAAGGTTTTTCTAGTGGCCTTCATAAATTGGACGGTAAACGAAGGTCTGACGTAAACGAAGAGAAAAAAAGAAAAAAACAAAAAACTAACAAGGATGAAACTGAGGGCGGTCAAATTAATTTTGTACCAGCTAAAGCTTCACAATTGAATAAGCTTAAACAGGCTGAACAAATAAATAAAAGAAGAAAACTTGTTCTTCCATCCCCACAAGTGGGAGAAAACGAGCTTGAAGAAGTAAATTATTATATTTGGTTTTTTTCTTTTTTTTTGTTAAGTTTTTCAATTGTTAATATTAAATAATTTTTTAGATTGTAAAAATTGGGTTTGCTGGAGAAAATGTTAGAGCTGTTGTTGGAGAAACCGATAATGTTTCTTCACTTGGCGATTATACACCGTCTACATCTGGCTTGCCATTGAGAACACCAAGGACGCTTGGTGGTTCTATGCAAACACCAAGGACTCCTGCTACAATATTGTCTCTTAGGACCCCAAGAACGCCTGCGTCAGGTATGTTGAAATTTAAATGAATTCACAAATTAATTTTAAACAATTGAATAAATCATTTTATTATTATTATTATTATTATGACAGCTAGTGCAGCAACGATAAAGCAACTTAGAGCTGGGCTGTCCAATTTGCCAGCACCGAAAAACGATTTTGAAATTGTTTTACCTAATATAGAAGTCCAAGAAGATCAAAAAGATGATATGAAAGGGATAGATGAGGATGCTAGTGATAGGGATAAAAAAATTAAAGCTCAACTTGAGGAAGAAGGTAATAATTAAAAATACTGCTAATTTTAAATTGTTTAAACGAAAATTTTTATTAAGTCGTCTATTTAATTATAGAGCGAGTACGACTTTTACGCAGATCTCAAGCTATCCAACGCGATCTTCCTCGCCCTACTCAAATCAATCCGAAATTAATTCTTGAAGTTGCTTCATATGAAAGTCCTTCCGGTGATCTTCTGGAGATTGAAAAGTTAATAAACGCGGAAATGGTACAATTATTGAATCATGATGCAATTATGTATCCAATTCATGGAAGTAAGATTGTTGGTGGAAATGTAGACGAATCATTTGAGGAATTTCCTGATGATTTAATAGATAAAGTTAAAGAATATTATATTAGCTAAGTTTAGTTGGGTTTCTATCTTGTATTTATCTAAAATTACTAACTTTTTTTATAGGCAAGGAAAGCCATTGATGAAGAACTTGCCATTTCTACCAACGATAATCTTATCATTTCTGAAGTAGATAATTTTTACGATATTTGGCAACGATTACATGAAAATCCTGAAAATAGCTATTTTCCAAAGGATCTAGAAGTGAGTAAATTACTTTTCTTTTTTAAAATTATCATAACATTATTTGAATTACATTGATTGGATCTTTTTTAAAAATATATACATATATAATATATAAAAATAAAAAGATAAATCGTAATATTATGATTAAAGACACCACTAAAGCAACCAAATTAGAAAAAAAATTGAATGTTACATTAGCTGGTTATCTGGTAACTATTTATTATTATTATTATATTTTTTGTAAACAAATGATTTTTATTAATAATTGTTATCATTTAATCAATCAAAGGCTCGTTCTCGAACTTTATCAAAAAACATTTCGGAAATGTTTGAAGAAATTGAACAGGCAAAAATTGAATTAAATTCTTTTCGATCATTAAACATTTCCGAGAAGGATGTAATTCCTAAAAGAATGGAGGTACGTATTTATTTATTTATTTATTTATTTACACTTTTTAATTTATTTATTAATCTTTAGACTATCCAAGATGAAGTTAATTATCTTATCAAGCGCGAATCGGAACTTCAACAGAGATATGCTCAACTCTCAACTGAAAAACACGAATTACAAGAGCGAATTAATAGTTTACAAAAAGAAAAAGAAAACAAAGATAATCAAGAGCTAATAAATGAATAACAAGAAATATACTTTTTTCTTTCTATAAACCTTTTATGCAGACCTTGATAAATTATGTATTGAATCTACCATATTTTATTTGTAAAACTTCATATCCATTGTTACTTAATATAAGCCCTTAATTAAAAATAAATATTCTAATTTGAAAATTTTTATGTAGAAAAAAAACTATACTATTTTTTTTTTTTTTTTTTAAATAAACAATTTAATACAATTGCAAAATTAGATGTGATATTCCAATAATTTATATTGCAATAACTATATTATGCATGATTGTGATTATTTCATCAAATGTACTTGGGATAGAAATTATACAAAAAAAAAAAGAAACTCGACATAAATAGCAAAATGTAAAAACTTATGTAACTATGAATTTTTCGTTGAATATCATTATTTCATCGAATCTCTTGGGAACAAGAGAATTTATTTCATCAAATCTCTTAGGAACAAGAGAATCCCTTTCCCATCTAACTCCAAAGAAACTCGTTCTTCATAAGTTGAATCAGGAAATCCAAATCCACCATCAATCGTTGTCTTGTGATGTATGCCATTCCAAATTATAACATCCGACATATTAGTTGTGAGAGAAGTACCTACTGTAAAGGTATGATGATAATAAAAGGCTGCGATCATACGTATGAGTAATAATGGACCCCATTTGTGATATATAGGACAAATAGCAGTTCGTGTAGTACCTTTAAAAGGTTTTCCTGGAGAAGGGTGACAGGGAAGTTGTTTTCCATGAGGAATTGAATAACATATGAACCAAGCGCCGAATTTTTCACTAAAAGAATATGCCATTTCTCCATCCGGCATAGGTCCTATCGGAGGTGGTGCCATAGGATCATGACAAGGAGTTTTACAATTAGGACATATCATCTGTGATGAAGGCATATATAACCATGTTTCTATACAAGATTTGTGAAAAACGTGAGGACAATTGTTCATTTTTACAATATCGGAAGGTTGATTTAAATTGACTATCAATTCAGCACATATAGTACAGCTTTCCTGCGCTGCTTCCCGAAGTCGATTTTGTGTAGCCAAAGAAGTATATTGAAACAAATTGATAGACTTAGACTTTTCGACTTGTCGTCTTTTAGCATGTACTATTCCTTCAGAACTTTTAAGCTTTTTTAACATATTAATAAACCCCTGGTCTAAATTTGATGAAGAGAGATTTGATTGTCTGGAGGACAAAACAAAGTCTAAATATGACACGAGAGATGGATAACCGTCATTTGATTTTGCTGGCCAGAACTGCTTATAAGCCATCGTCGTCACACCATAAAAGCTTAAAAGTCCACTTGATAAATCAACTTGGTGTGTCCATTGTTGTATCATAGCTTGTGCCTTACGAAGCATCCAATTCGATGAAGAAAAGGCTGTAATAGGTTGATGATGCACTTGCACTTGAGTTACAATGGGATTGAAATTTAAAGGAAGTGGAGGTAAATTGAAATTGGCTAGTTGAATAGGTGGCAATGATGATGAATAATTATTACCACTTGAACTAATGCATCCATTGGTGTTAAATTGTGATGATGATGTATTTCCATTGTTAATAGGCCATTTAAAATTACTTTGATTGTTTGTATTAAATGAATTAAATCCCGTTATTGGTTTCATTCCTGGTAATTGTAACATGAAAGGATTGGCATGTAAAGCATTATTTCCCTGAGCTTTTTCATAATGTATCGACAAAATAGGTAAAACCTGAGAATTATCATACACCACATATTCATCAGCCACGGCAACGTAATGTTTAACACTGTGATATCCTTTAGGAGGATACTTTGTATGTGGGTTCACAGATTTATCTTTATCTTTTGTGTTATCGAATATTTTTCCAAGAGCAGTCACACAAACAACTAAAGCTCTTTTTGAGCTATTACGACTAGCGAATTGATCACATTTATATAAACTTGGTGATAAATATATTGCGGGTCCGCAATTACCAAAAGATTTTGAAAAACGACCATCCTATAATTCAAAGGAAAGAAGAAAAAAAAATTAATTTAAAAATATATTTATGTGTATATAAATGTATAGTAATAAATAATGATAATAATAATAATAAAAACATACTAGACCGTGGTCCAATATGGATATAACGTTATCTGGTTGTGTTCCATGAAATAAGACCGTATCCTTAAATAAAGTCTCATACTCTGTTTGAAATAATGCATTGGGCTTCTCTTCTTTTTCTATAGCTTGTTGTAAACTCTTAAATTGTTGATACCTAAAAATTGAGAAAAGCCTGGCTAATGAATACTCGAATAACAAAAGAAATTGATTTCAACGGATGACTACATACATATTTACCTTTCCCAAAGAGTTCTGTTTTGTAAAATTGAAATCATTGTTATGTTATATGAAACTTCTTTAAGGTGTTCTTTAAAATAAGCGGCAATGTCTATATATAATTGGTCATCTTTAGAAAGGTCGACACTTGTCGGAGGTCTCGAAAACGGAACATCAAAGTAACTGCGAACTCGGTCCAAAATTAGCTTTCCGTCTTCGAGTTGATATTCTCTTTTACTACCCATTTGACAAAAAAAAAAAAAAATTTCAATTATGGAAGAATGATATGGTAGCATATTTATATTTCAAAATAAAGGCACGTGACATTCTTATCATTTTAAATAGATCTCGGAATTACCCGTAAAATTGTTTTTGTTTCCCGCGTAGGCTTTTTTATTTCCATAAGCAAATAACAATAACTTCAATGACGATCATTATGGCAATAAAAATTCCGGTCAATAACCATTCTTGTTTTACAATAAACAGTAAACTAATTTCAAAAAGTCACAAGACGGACGATCAGATCAGTGTTATAAAAAATTTTCGTGACTTTTGAAATAGAAATAGTCGATTGAATAACTAGAAAATAATCCAAATTCATTATACATCTTTTATAGTTGTAACACGACAGGTGAAAATCTTTCCAAGTGAAGCGATAATAGAATATTTTTATTATGTATATTATGGGTCGAATTCGATACAAGTGTATTCGATTATATTAATAACGATTTATATATATATAAGTTGCAATTGCAATTTACTGATATTAAAATAAATACAATATAAACAAATATTAACTCAAATGTTAACCATCTATAAAGAAAGAACAGATAAATGTAGCATTATATATCTTCAAAAAATACGTAAAGGGAACTAACGCACATTGGTTTATTGAGAATTGGAAAAATTAGATGATTAAAATAAAACAGATCTACGAGAACTTTTCGTCAGAAATATTAAGGGAAATCTGTACCTACTATAAATGTAAACATTCATTCCGAGGGTTTGACATCATCCTTCGTTTCTTTAATTTCCTTAGTTTCCTGAATTTCCTGAGTTTCTTTAGTTTCCTTAGTTTCCTTGGATTCATTCTCTGGAGTTTCTTTGGTCTCTTTAGTTTCCTCTTCGGACTTTTCTTTAGGTTCTTTCACTGCAACTTTGTCTACATCTTTCTCATTGATTGTTTCATCTCCCTTCCTAAATATTGCACTATTTAACTTTTGCATCTCATAAAACTTATCATGAAAGGTATTGGCATCTATTTGATCACAAGTACATGATTAAAATACAGATTTATTCATCGTATAATAAAATAACATACAATACTTACTTTCGGTATTAGAAAACCGAATCGCCAACGTTTCTGATTTGGCTTCACCATCAGAAACATCGGCACTAACATTCCACACCCATGAACGATCTGATCCAACGTTTGGAGAAAGTTGCATTTCGGATGTGACTGAATTACATACATAATATATAGGTTTAACCACCAGCGATATTTATTTTTCAACTCTTTAGATAAATAAATAGATTTACGCTTACTGTAATGATTGGCGCAAACTTTATGAGTCTTGTCTCGTCGCATTACTAGGCGAATTTTTTTTGTCTCTTTATGCTGGAGAAAACGAACGTCTCCTGTGCCGCGTTCCTTCCATTCCTTTAATGGTTTATCAAATCGAAAAAGTTTGGCGCGCCTTTATTTAAAGAAAAGATTATATCATGCATAAATTAATTATAATAATTTTAATATGTTTGGAAGCTCGTAGAGTTAAAATGTTCATGTTTATATTATATTATTTTTTTTTCATTTTCACAGAATTTCCTCCATTCAATCTTCAACAGTTTAGCAAACTTGCGATTCAATTATTTCTTCTTCCAAATCGGAAGCTTATGAAAGCAAGTGAATATGCTGTTGACGCATTTCGGCTAACCCTCTTTTTAATTCTAGGTTTTACTTGTTTACTCACATTTTAAATAAGACATCCTCGTCTTCTTCAAAGGTTTTTACTTCAACCTCGTCCAATTTGATGACGGGATCAAAGTGAATATCAGGTGAAGGGACTACGTCCTCCTATTCATAAAAAGACAAAATGAAAATAGTTTAAAGAAAGTGGTTTTGCATAACGCACAAACGCGTCAATTATTTTACCTCTTCAGTTCCCTTTGAAGATCCCGCGACAACTGGCTTGCTTTCGGTATCGGCCATGGTTGGAAATTTGGATTATGCGGGAAAATAGAAAATTTTTTTTCTAAAAAAAAAAAAAAAAAATCATCATAAATAGAACGTTGCTGTGGAAATTACGCATTTGTCACACACACCTCCGTCTTGTCACAGGATCAATTTAGATAATCAAATTTTACAAATTTGTTACGCGACCGCGACTGCCAGACAAAAAAAAACAAATTTCAAAATTTCGTATATTTGTAATGAATTCTCGAAATAATTTTAATGTTGCACCTTTATTTTCGTGGCCACAGTTGTCTCCCACTGGCATCGTTCTTGAAATAGGGAGTTTAGGTAGCTGCTCTTACGGAGAGAGTACACCACGAAATATAAGTTGGAATTGCATGAACGAGGTCCAAACTTGTAAGGATCGCATGATTTTTTTATTTTTAATACTTAAATTAAATAAGATGTCTTATAAATATAGATAATGGATTTGATATAAGACAAATTACAAGTATCACACAAATATTTCCACATACAAGACGCTATTATCCTGATATACAATATAGATACCCTATTGCAAAAAGATCTTCCGCGAAATCCGTAGGTCACGCCTTGAAAAAAACTGATTAATAGCTGATTATTTATATTTACTTTAACTATTCTACGATAGGCTCAAATTTTAAAAGATTCCTATCCGGAATTCGATATTTCACAAGAATATATCGCTGCTACCTTCTTAGAAGAATCATACAATGAAAGCAATTATAAAACCTTTGACCCTTATATGAGCAATGAACTAATTTCCGTTGGAAGTTATGAGTTCGGTCCTGGGATGATTGAGAAATTCATGACTCTTCCAATGGGAACTTCCGGAACTGAATTAAGTAATGTTTCATTAAATTTCCTTTTTTGAATTTTTTTATGATTACTTCTAATATCTTTAAATCTTATTTATTTATATACGAAAAGATTTTATTCCTTTGTCATATGATAACGCTCTCCGAAATTCGAATTATATTGTAAGTCAATATCAACCAGATTTGAGTAACATATCAACATTAAATTTCAAGACTCCTATAAAGCAAGTATCATCCTCAATATATGAAAATACTCCTACCATAAACAAAAGTCGTGATAATACTTTTAATTGTTGTCCTTGTAAGATTTATAAATATTATATATACCCTAGTCTTGTTTGATCAATGGTTAATGTTTTATTCTCCTACTTTCTATAGCTTTATTGGCAATTCGTACAATGTCTGGTACTACTTTCTTGAAAATAATAAATACAGGGTCGGAATTAAAAGCGATAGCGTTGGATAGCATAATACACGAAGACAACCTTGAGCACATGCATGTTACATTCAATCCAATGATATATGGCGAAGCAGCTATCGTGGATGGTAATGGTGGTATCCATTTATGGAAAGGAGAAAGGCATGAAGATTATTCAAAGTAATTATCAATTTTTTTACATATACATGTTTTTCAATAATTGATTAATTTTATTAATTATTATTGTCTTCTATAATGTAATTTGTAGATTCTTCTCTAAATATAATTTCAAGACGGTACATAGATCTCAAATTGATGTAGATTTACCTTTTAAGGATTTATGGAGGACTTGCGTGTATGGTGCACATCCCCAAACTCTCGTTGTCGCTTCTCGAACTAGTGCAGATATCTTTGATTTTAGGGTAATGTCAAAGATGTATAATTATTAATCCTTGTAATATATACGTTACTTATATTGATTTTATTTCATAACATATCCACTTTAGAGTAAAAGCGTTAGGTTACCTCAAAATCTTTTTGGTGTTAATAATAAAGATAAAATATTTTCATTTCAAAGATCACCCGTATCTAATGCATATGAATTTGCTTTAACCACACAAAACGATGTTATTCTTTTGGATCAGCGATTTTCTAAAAGACCAATGCTTACGTGGGCACATCACCATAGCAGTCCTCCCAGTGGAGTAAATATTATAACGAAAAAACAAAGTAAATCTTTTCGAAATTATGTTTATTTCCCTTAGAATAATATAATTTTTCTAATTTTCTGATATTGTTAAGATTCAATGGTTTTAATATGGTCAAAGAATCCCCCTACTATAACATCATTTCAATATTTAACTTCCGCTTCCGGACCTGTAATATCTACCAATCAGCCTGTTTCAATTCCACCTTTTACCACGCATCCGACATTTTCTCGATCGAAATACTTGAGGACGCCTCATGCAATACGAGACGATAAGATCACGGAAGGATCGATTCAACAGCATAAATTACCCCCACTTTCGAGCGTACTATTACTTGAGAATAATGTTTCCTCAAGGAATTCTACCCATTTTGGTTCTTGTTTTAGTATTTTTCAACTTTCTCAGACTGGTGCTTTGTATTCACAGGTTTTTCAAGCTAGGGCTGAAACAGATTCCTTTATCCATCAAAGTGTACCGTCAAAATTGCAAATTAGCGACATGTCAAATTCAATAGCTTCCCTGCATTATTTAGCAGACATGGATGTTGGTACTACGCCGGAATTACGTGTGAAGCAAAATCAAAGTTGGTCTTTTGAGAAATTATGGAATTGTAAGTATCTATTTTACATACAGATACAGTCGATTTTTTAGATCTGGGTTTTAAATAACGTATGATTCTAGATATTTCTAAAGACTTTAAATGTGAATCTTCCTCGAATAATATTTCTCCTTTTGTCCTTGAAACCGGTGCCTTATTTTTTGCATGGGAAAGCGTGGAAAATTATTTTGAACATTATGGGCATGTGTATGGCTTTAATTGTCAGAAAAAGTCCATCATAAAAGATCTTAATGGGAATGTTCGATCCTTAACTTATGCTTGCATGGAAGCACAAACCGCAAGGCATAGGATAATGATGCTCTGTGAATGGAGAGTTACAATTTCATCTATCAAATCAAATGAATGTTTTATTGTAACCGAATTTATAAACCAACATAATCATGACCTTTTTTCGGCATTGTATAATTCTGAAGGATGCAGATCACGGATTGGCGACGACATAGATATGGGAGTAATTTCAACTGAGGATTCAATAAAAGAAGCTCTTATGAGTTTCGATGCACTGCAAGAAAGCTATACGGACCCTTTTGCATTCCTTTTGAAAAAGTTTTATCATGATAATCGTTTGATTGTAGATAACACCGGACATCCTTTAACATTGTATCCTTTTTTAATTTTTTATTTTATGGTATAATGCACAATATATTTTAAAACTTTTATTTCTTAACCTTAACGTAGATATGAAATATTGAGAAATATACCAAACTCTCACATTAATGGATCCGAAGCTCAAAGCGTTCAACAATTTTCTGAAACTTCAAAATTTAAAAAGGATTCATTAGAGTTGTTTGTTGAATGGTCTCTCTTCGATGTTAATTTGTTATTTGAGCATTTATGGAATGAAGACCTTAATTCAGCTTTAACCATTTCTCAAATATATGGATTTCCGAATATTAATGTAACTAAAAAACCTGGCGATATTGAGAAAGATATCAAATTTTATTTACAGAAAGCATATCCATTATCCGCTAATAAAAGCGGCGTCCTTGGAAATACTGATGTCGATGATCAAATCAAACGCAGTCGCCAAAATGCTATCGATGAAGTTTCAAGAGATCTTGTCGAATGTTCACAATCTTTTATTTCGAAACCTCAGAAGTGTTTGAAATTTTTATTATCTTCAGATCTCCTTCCAGAACAAAATTCAATAAATGACTTAGCAAATTCTGATATTTTTACGATTAAATGTAAAAAACCAATTAACGATGATGGATATGTACTGTCAACGGCAGCACAAGAATTGTTTGATGATTGGATTATTGATCAAAATCTCGAAGAATATGACTATAGATTCCTCGAAGATGTTATTGAAAAATCAAACACTTCAATAAATATTTTAAAAAAGGAACAAGAGGAAGCTTTACTTAATGAAATGGAAAATCCTTCTATAGGAAATATCGAAGGATATGAATCTACAAATTTCATGGAGAATGAGGTTTCGAATCGAGCAGAATCTTCACGGATAGAGTTGCAACCTGCATTAAATGCTTCTGAAGGAGGAGGTTTGAATAAAATATTGGAAAAGCCAAAAAAGAAAAAACGAAGATCTGGTTTCCGATAATTAATACGTGCTTTTTCATATTCAGCTGCTTAACATTTCTGCTCTTATTAATAATAAACCGAACACAATAACATAATAGATTTTAAAATATCAAATAAGTTAATATCATAATGTTTTGGTAGAATAGAAAGTATGAAACAAAACAAATTTACTATTTTTATTTATATATTGACAAGTATACAAATACTATTATATAAAGTTTTACTACCTGAATCTTTTAGGTCGGATCAGATCAGTTTTTAGTTAGATTAATCAATTGAAAACGGTATTATATAAAAATATTTGTATAATCATATAATTTATGTATTAAAAAAAAAAAATGTAGATTTATGAAATCATTATATTTTAAAATGTTTTTTAATTTAAAGCTTATTTTATCAATATAAAAATATCATTTAACTATCTGTATAAAGAACTTTTTATAATAAAATCTAATATAATATAAAATTATAAATAAAAGATAAATTTATTAATTATTTTCAAAATATTTTTTTTATAAATATTTAAATATTTATAAGAAAAATTTATATATAAAATTTAGTATTAAGTCACACAAAATAATAAAATTGGTTTTCATATCCCAGTTGGGTCAGCGAAGCGGGATTCTAAATTTTTTTTTTCCTAACTGACCAATAAGAAAGCTTCAAAATTTCACGTGATTAAGACTTAAATATAACCCGTTATACAGTCTGAAGTGTATAACATTACGTGTACAATTTTGATTGCGTAGAATTATTAAATCCTTTGTTACATTTTGGATTAATAATTAAATTCTGAATTATGCTTAAACTTATTTATAGAAAATCCAAAAATTCGTTATAACAGAAGTTTCTTTATATAACAGCATTTAATTCTCAGATCCAAAAATTTGTTA